TCCCTATGCGGGATCAGTGTGAGTCAGAACTGACTCCATGGCTCATCACCACCACCACCAGGTACATTAGGGAAGTTAGAGAGGGGGTCAGAAATAGGGGATGATGCTAAAGAAAACCTTTCTCATTTTTCCTAGGTGCGTCTTCTATACCTACAGCTGCCACAGCTAAAAGGTATACATGACAAATGTCAGCCTTAGCCTACTTCAGTCTGGTGTCCCTTGTTGAAATAACTCTGAACATCTTTTAGTTTACCTTTATAACTACGCTTCTCTCTTATAAGGAAACACTTGTGAATGGAGTTGCTGGAAGTACATCCATCAATGTAATAAATACATTATTTCTGGGATTGAGATCCTAGTTGTACTTGTTGAGAGCTCAAGGGTAGAGGGAAGAAAACCAAATAACTTGACTCACCAAATACTAGACTCACTGAAGCTGAACCTTAATTTCCAAACAAGGATATACTAACAACTGCAGGGATGTTAACCCTGCATAAATATGGAATGGAAGCTTTCTTTATGCTATCTTAACTAAAATGTTGTTGTTGTGGTTAAATGCCGTCGAGTCGGTTCCGACTCATAGCGACCCTGTACAGGGTTTCCAAGGGTGTAAATCCTTACGGGAGTAGAAAGCCTCATCTTTCTCCCGCGGAGCGGCTGGTACTTTCGAACCGCTGACCTTAAGGTTCGCAGCCCGATTCGTAACCAGAAGTATTGCTAAAATATCATTTCTTTACACAAAAACATCAAAATCTGAAGCTATTCTTGATAGAGCCTCCATCTGGAGCAATATAATGCTGATGGCAGTGTCTTCATCTCTCTAACCCTTCCCTGAAGAATTCTGCACTCCATCAAGGCTGTAGGATGCATGAGATACCCTCAAGAATGAACAGGTACATTGTCTTAGAGGAAAAAGAAAAAAAAAAAAAATCCTGCCTTTTCCTCATCAATGCAGTTTTTAATTTTCTTAAAACTTAATAGCCCCATGACTGTCCTGTGTTCTTCGAAAAAATCTTATCAAGATTACCCCTTTGGGATCCCAAAAAACAGTTGCCATAACCTTCTGAGCTGACCTCTCTACCTTGAATTAACTGGCTCAGCAGATCACCTCCAGAATCCACTTTTTATTGGAGCTTGTTCTCTCTCGATTGTATTGGCAAATCAAGACTAGTCCCTCGTTACAATTTATTCCAAACTGAAAATGCCAAACCATGTGAGCTCCTAACTTCAGTAGCTATCACATCAATTGTAATTCTAGTCTTTTTCCAAGAGTTTCTAGACTTCATTCACAGTTCCTACAGTCGTCCAGGTTGATGGTCTCTCCCTCCCTTGACTCATCTTTTTGAGGTCTTCCTGACCTTTCTTAAAACGCTTGATCCATCCAAAAACTGCTGTTTTATGTGGGGCAGCATTTCTGTAAACCAGATGCAAACCCTCCATGGTTTGGGAAGATGTCTACTTGAGTTTTGTTAAAAATTTGATAGTAGTTAAGACCTTAAAACCATCTTTTTCTGTGGCAAGAAAATATCCTTGTTTTTTTCTTTAAGACACCCTCCTAAGACTAAGACAAGTGTATTACTGAAAAAACGTGTCTGCATCCATCCACTGATTGCAGAGATGTGTTTAAACACATTTTGTTTGGAATTAACCTGAGCATGCATAAAATGGAACTATATTAGCAATATTCCTCGATTTATCTGGGTAAGTGAGTTACCAAAGTATTCATTTACCTACTTTGACTGAAAAATTTGAGAAACAGCAATGTGTGAGCATTGTGTATGAGGTTGTCAACAGATGGTTCCGTAGCAAGAGACAGCCTGAGAAACCAGAGCAACAATCTTGAGACCTAGTAGGCCTCTGTTGCTGTAGCAAACAGCACTCAAAAGGCTTGGAAAGGCATGCCAGAATTCTTTGGCCGTCATAGCTATCACTATGAATTAGGAAATCCTATATAGAAGCATAAAGGAAAATTCTTCTACCCTTGAATGAAATACTGAATGGGTAACTTTGCCTTTTAAGACAGTTTGTATTTAGTTTAAACTCAGTCACTGTAACATATACAAGTATTTCCTGCTTTTCAAAAGTTCGTTTTACGCCATATTGTTTTTACAAAAGACCTACATCAGTAGCTGTTTTTGCTAATTGAAATAAATGATAGAGGATTTGAACGAGGCAGTGGGTACTTTCAGCAATGGTGTCACCAAGTTCCTTTCCCAGGAACTGTAAGCAGCATCTCAGCATCCAGCTGCCATAGCTCTGAACTGTGTCTGTGAGCATCTGTGCTTTCTCACAATTATTTTATGTATCCGGTAGCAAGATGTATTCTAAGGTATCAGAAAAGCCTAAGAGAGTGTTTCTAAGGGTGTTAAGCTTAGCATAAAAATGGAAGTAATTAAATATTTCGATTGTGGTGAATGAAATACAGTATTTTATGATTGTCTTTTATTTTGTGATCTAATGTAATTTTCCTATGTGTTATGAATCCTAAATTCTGCCTGCTTTCACTGAGACAGAATTAGGTTATGTTTGTTATGGAACAGTATTAAAGTGGGATGTAACATTGCTGGTAGGGTTATTGCTGGTAGGGTAGCCCAAATAGGATGCTAGGGAAGTCTACCTGTGATGTCACTGTCTCACCTTTTCTCATACAAGAGGTAAAAAGAAAGAGACGCAACAAGACACAGAAGCAAACACAAAAGGAGGGACCTGACTACCACCAAGAAAGAAGAGCTGGAACAAACACATTCTTCAGAGCAGGGGTCCCTGTGCTAAGAACCTCCTAGACCCAAGGGAAGCTTGAAGTCAAGACACAGAGAGATCTCCAAGCAATGTTGGGCTCACAGATATCAAAAGGAGACAATGATCTTCCTCCAGGCTGACAGAGGGAGAAATACTTTCCCTAGAGCTGATGCCCTGAATTCACAACAAGGTCAGCAGATCAAACCCACCAGCCACTCTTGGACACTATACAGGGTTTCTGTAAGTCAAAACTGACTTAGTGGCACACGACAACAACATAACTGTGAGAGAACAAATGAATACTTGTTAAAGCCATCCATTTATGGAGTTACTTCTGTTATAGCAGCACTAGATAACTAAGACATTTGGTATGATTTCATAGGTTATTTTTGGGTCTTGGAAGGCTAAAAAAAATTTTCCTCATATAAACTCATAGTAATAGTTATTTCGCTTTATACTATTTTGGCTTATGAAAAGTTTCATAGGAACATTCTACTTTTGGATAGTGTGTGGGGAACATGTACCATAAATATCAGGAATGACTTTAACCATAGTGTTCATTTCTTTTTCTTTTGCCAACCAACAATTTTATGTACAAAGTAGTTCACATGTTAAACAATCAGTGCACCAGAATCATGAATATAAATCTTTCTTAATGAGGCACACTGATAGCTGCTTAGAGTAATAAAGGATTTTTTTTTTTTTAATTAACAGGAAGGACATATCACAAAGTGGTACAAAAGCATTAAAAATGAATATTATACAATTTCAGTTAATACTGACTTAGAATTTATACATTTCATATACAGTAATTCCAGTTCATTTAAAAAAAAAATCACAATACTTTAAGAAATGTAACATTCTTTTTTAGGTACAAAACAACCATTGCCTTGGGCTCAGAACTCTTATTCACAACACCAGGGGGCGTTATTAATGTAATGCTTACCATATTTGCATTAATAAAACAGCAATAATAACAACAATAAGACATTTATGTTGAACTTGGTAACTTTAAAAGCCCTTATTGCTGCTATGTGTTGTTGAGTTGATTCAATTCATAATGGCTCCATGTGACAGAGTAGAACTGCCTCATACAGTTTCAGGTTGTAATCTTTACAGACTGTAAACAACAAGGTTGGTGGTTCAAGCTCACCAGCCACTCAGCAGAAGAAAGATGATGTTTGCGGCTACAGTCTTGGAAGCCTATGTGAGGTCACTGAGTTGGAACTGACTCAGCAGCACTCGACAGAAGTCTCCACCAGAGCAGACTGCCAGGCTTTCTCCCACGGAGCCTCGTGTTGTCGTTAAGGGTTACTAAGTTGGTTCTAACTCTTAGTGACTCTAAAGAGTTTCCAAGGAGCAGCTGGTGGGTATGAACCACCGACCTTGTGGTTATCAGTCCAGTGTTTATCCTACAGTGCCACACCAGGACCCCGCTAGGTGGATTTTAACTGCCAACATTATGGTTTGCAGCCTAATGCTTAACCACTGGACCGCCATGGTGGTTTTTATAAAAGCCCATATAGCTGATTATATTTGTTCCCCTGCAAATAAAAACATCCTCATTTCTACTCATAATTCAGTTAAAAGTACATTCAGTTTTTATCCCTTTGCTATAATTTCTTGATGATATAACATTAACTCTGGTCAAAAGAGGTACATTAACAATAGAAAAAGTTTGGATAATTTACTGAAGTTTCATTTCATAGTTACTGAGGTAGAAGCTGGTCATGTGTTTTTTCCATTAAAAGGTACAACAATTCATCTATGTTTATTGTACTGATTCAAAGACATGCATTTCTCCATGAACAATTTCATACTCATCATTTGTGTACTAAGCACTGCATGGCAACAAGCCCCTTGATGTGTGTGTGTGTGCTTCACTCCTAAGAATGTTAGGTAGAAAATGTAAGGAAGAAATAACAGTGTGGACTGTGTCACAAAGAGTTAATACAGTATATGATGTTCAAACAAGTTCTCTAGTCTCCAGAGAAAAGGTCCTTTAGAATTCAGTGTGTCTCAGAAATAATTCTGACCATTACGTAAACATCAAGAATTTAATAAATAACACATACAGATAAAAAACAAAAACACTTAAAAAATATTACCTTTTACCTAACAAATAATTTCTTATATTGGACGAACAGTTTCGCTGGATTTATTCTGGCAATGTTTCATTTTATATAAATTTTCAACTGCATTTATTCCATTCTGGTGAAATTCCACCCATTTGAAATCATCAAAGAGATGAAACTATACTGCTACAATACTGTGCCTTCCTGGAACGCTTCTATCCACCTATTGATAAGAGAAATCTGTTAGATTTGGAACCTATAATTGTTGTGTACATGAGTACGTGAAGACAGTACGGATAGTAGCGGGACTGTATGAAGCTCTTTCCTGCAACAATCTGGAATTCTTTTTATTTAGAAGTAGCATTAATTTGGTCCAACTAGGAGTGAACTAAATGCCAGACTCCCTTTATTTGAAAATATTCTAACAGGTTTGAACTAGGGATGCCCTAGTTGAATACTGTAGTTGTTGGAGTTAAGACAGGGATAGAAGCTGATGTTTCTGAAATCACGGAATCAGACTACTGGTTAAGGGAGAAAAGGAAATGCAGTAATAATTATTATTATTGCTGGTATACCCACTTAAAAAATCAACTAAATGGGATCATTAGGACTTCAGATAGCTTCTACATGAAAAGACCCCTTTCTTGCTCTTCACAGAAATAAGAGACACACTTTTCATGTTGCATGTCCAGGAGTTATTATGTAAACAGTGTCCTGGCCTGTTGCTATGATGACGGGGACTATATGCCATGTAGTCGGTTCCAACTCATAGAGATCCTGTATAGGGTTTCCAAGGCTGTAAATCTTTATGGAAGTAGAAAGTGTCATCTTTCTCCCGTGGAATAGCTGGTAGTTTCTAACTGCTGACCTTGTGGTTCACAGCCCAATTCATAACCACTAGGTTACCGGAGCTCCTTGGCCTGTTTCTATGGCAATGTATAATTACTAATGATAAACTAGAGTATGTTGTTGTTTGTTGTTAAGTGCCATTGAGTTGATTCCCACTCATACCGTAACTGTATAGGGTTTTTGAGGAGTGGCTGGTGGGTTTGAGCTGCTGACCTTGTGGCTCAAACTGACCATGTAGTCCAGCACATTATCTGGCAGCACCATAACTATAAACTATTTTTTTTTCCCTTTAGAACATTCTTTAGCTTAATGTGATTTTTTGTTTTAACAAACCCAAAATACTTGAAAGCATGGATGCAAACTTGTGGTGCTGTGGGTTACTGCACTAGACTACAAAGCCATTTGAACTGCAAGGTTGGCTGTTCAAGCTCACCAGCCGCTCCTTGGAAACCCTATACAGGGTCGCTATGGGTCGGAACGGACTCAATGGCACTTAACAACAACAATGTTCATTGTAGCATAATTTACAATAGCTGAAATGTAGAAATAACGTAGTTGTCTATCAAAAGATAAATGGATGAACAAAATGTGGTATATCCACACAATGGAATGTTATTTAGCCATAAAAAGGAATGACATTTTAATACACATTAAAACATGAATGAATTTTTAAAAATACTATGTTAAATGAAATAGGCCAGACACAAAAGGGCACATATTCTGTGATCCCATTTATATGATACATCTAGAATAGGCAATGGGAGAGGGGGGTGGGGATTTATGAATTAATTAACGGGTATCAAGTTCCTATCTGGGGTAATAAAAAACAAATCAGAGGCAAATATTATTGTGACTATAATTAATGGCATTTAATTCTACACTTAAAATAATTGGTTCCATTAACTATACACATGAAAATGGTTGAAATGGCAAATTTTATGCTATATGTATTTTACCACAATTAAAAAAAAATGGTGATGTCTATAGATAATATGAATCATACATGGATTTAGCCAGACACCATATGATGTCTTACGTCTAATTTTGTAACTTATCATTTAGTAGTCCTGGCATGGAGCTGGGGGTTAATGCAATGGACTGCAAAGTTGGTTTGAACTGCAAGGTTGGCGGTTCAAGCTTACCGACTGCTCCTCAGAAACCCTATACAGGTTTGCTATGGGTCAGAACCAACGCAACACACTTAACAAGTTACATTAAATAATTTTCTATTCAGATTTTTTTTAAAGGCTACAAGTTTCTGTATCCACACATTTTAATATTCTAACACATATTAAAAAAATCAACCACATGATTTTAACCTCAAAGAGAAATTTACAAGGTCACCTTGATCAATTCCAAATTATAAGTAGATGATTTCATGCACACAACTATATTCATTTCTTTTTTAAAATTAAGAATACTTTGAGTCAGTCTTCTTTATTTATGATATAAACAAAGATGAAGTATATTAAAAAAGCTACAATTTCATCGAGCTGATGGTAAATACAGATGAAAATTTGGAGCGATACCATGCCTACAAGAATGTCAGGGTGACTGTTATTTTGTCCAAATGATTTTTTCAGAAAAAAGTTGTGACATTTTGAAACCTATTCTTCAGTACTACTATAGGAATTACTTGGAGGAGCATCTATTCTGCTGAATACGCTAACTTAAAAAAAAAAAGTCTTATAGAATATAATCCTGTATGTGGCAGATGTTTAGGAACTATGTAATTCTAGTACATTAATTATAATTGCCTTAAGAAACTGCTTAGTGCATTCCTTTGTATCTACATACAAAATAATGAAATTTTCTATACTTTTAACTCTACTGAGAAAACATGTACACTTCTTGCAGAAATAAAACTACATTATTTTGTAAGGTCAAAATAAAAATCAAATCATCTAAGCAGTAGATTGGTATATAGGGGGAACAACAACACTAGTAAGATAAGCCGATAGTCTGGTCAATCATTCAAAATCAAAGGGGCAACATGTACCTAAGGACAATGGCATGGCGAGAAGGCATGGGAAGGTGGGTGGAATGGAGATAGGAGCCACAGGAAGGAAGTGGGATAACTGTTGTTCCATGGAGGGGATTGCAATCATTGAGATGAAACAAAGTGTATGATTTGTTGAATGTAAAACTGATGACCTTTTCTGTAAACCTTTACTCAAATTCATAATAAAAAGTTAAAAAGAGAAAAAAAAAAAAGATGAATTGGACTATTTTGTTCAGAAAGGAAGAAAGGCCCTGGACCCCACAGAGATCTACAGGTCTATGTGAAGCAATCTAATGATGTCTAAATGAATATCCTGGGAATTTTAAAGAGACCATTCAGCCTTTACAATTTAAAATGACACCTACTTCCTTCTACTCAGTCAACAGCATGGGAGCCTTTTAATGTGTTTGACCTTTTTTCCCAATGAAGTTAGCAAGCAGCTGTTTAAACTTCTGCTGTTCCATGGCACAACTGAATCACTGGATTGCCAAAGTCCTAGAATGTTTCAAGGGAAGATTCTTACCCTCATTGAAGGGGGTCAGAGCAGCATCATGCCGCTTCCTCTGAGGTTACATGTAGACAAACTCCTTTGGACAAGACTATCTATTTTTCTTTTCCCCTTTGCCTCCTGAAAATATTCCAGACATCTTTTCCTTATTTTAAAAAACAATGCATCTCAAGAGTTTGAGTAATATGTTCAATCTTTCCACTCAAGAGTTTGAGTAATATGTTCAATCTTTCCAAAGTAGAACTCAGAATCCTGAGTTATCCCCATGCAATTAACAGCAGCCATTTAAAAGTCAACCATTTAAAGGAACAACTTGAAATCACATGCAATATAAGTATGTATATAATACATTTCTAAGTTACTTACTTCTGAGCTGAGTGAGCATCTTCTGCTTTGAATATATAATATAACATGTTTTTGTGCAGCAACTGAAACACTTTAGACTCTGAATTCTCATCTTTGACTTGAGTGACAGTGAACCCTAGCAAAGGCTGACTCTCCAAAGCTGCCACATCCTAATGTAAAAACATACAAAATGGAGATGGGTTTTCAGATTGGATCAAAATTCAGATTTGAGAAACATTGATCTATGTAGCTATAATTTAATTTCATTTACATGTATACAAAACAATTATATGTTTTTCATTTACTCAACATTATTTATTGAGCCTCCCCCTCCCCACCTACTCCATCTACTCCCACTGGGTTATATGATTTGCAATGAACTCACACTCATGGAATACTTTATTTTCCACTGTAACCCTGAAAGACAGGTATTGTATAACTTCCTTTTTTGCAAAGTAGAAAATATAGCTCAGAAAGCAGTGACTGACCCCAGGAAGTACTAAGAAAAAACTTGGACCTTAGATAGTGGTTTTCACAGGATGTAGAAACACAGGGAGATGGGATAGGAGAAATGGCAGAATTAGAGCAAATAGCCAGAAATTATCTACAACCCAAATGATGCCTATTTAATCTGTGCTGATTCCTGATCAGTTGAATCTGGGGAATGGTCAAGGGAGTGGATAAAAACCTTGAGCATTAGTGCAGCAGTTAGTTGTCACAGGACACTTGTATTTTAATACTATGCAGTATCAACATTTTTTAGTCTGAGTTCTCCAGGTACAAACTCAGAACACTTTCCATGTTAAAATTACAGCAGCTACAACTTCCCACTTCAAAAGTACAGCAAAACAAAACATCTAAAAATGTATTTTAAAAACTGTACTGATATTTTAAATGATTGCCACTTGGCAATACAAAACAAGACCTCAAAATCTTTATCAAAATCTTTAAATTTCAGACCTTACCTCACTTGCAGCATATGTATACAGCACTTTATTTTTTATGACAAACCACAAGTGTTTCCAAGGTTTTTTATTTCCCTTTGATCTGTACAAGTAGCCACTCATAGAAGAATCCTCTGTGTTTGCGCAGACCTAGACAAGTAAGCCCACTGCAGAATTAGTGGTGTTCAGAAAAGCAAAAATTAAATCATTTGTGCTCATTAGGGGCTAAAGTAATATCCATAACAATACATACTGTTGCAGAATGAAATTTTCTATTTTCATCATTAGCTACTATGATAAACTGAAAGCTGCTATTATTCTGAGCATAAAAATCCTTTCTTTAGGAACAATTCAGTTTCACCTGGTATAACTGTGCTTGCAAGCATGTGCCTGTGTATGTTTCTTTGTGATTTCATCTGTGTCTTCTGGGTTGTTAGCAGAAGAAAGTTGATTAAATAATAAATACCAAATTAATTAATAATTTAATAAATAATAATACCAAAGGCCAAAGCTTGGTGTTTTGTTTTTATACTGTATTTTTGGAATTATATCTATTGTCCATTGCTCTACTTCTTAGGGGGTGCTACAAAAATTCATTTAAACATCTAATTTTATTCTGGAGACAGCTTTCACACTTATAAACAAGAGAATAGTTCACGTACTCTATCTAAGCCCAGGGACTGAGTAAGGCTGTGTGCCTGCAGGCAAGAGGTTGGCTTGCAGAATATGCCCTTAGGACATATAAATGAATATATATTGTTTTGTTTTGTATGTGTAAACCAAGTACTCATGTTTTGTTCATTTGTGAAATGTAAGATGTAAAAGGAAAGCCACAGGGAAAGTAGGATAACTGTTGTTACAGGGAGGGGATTGTAATCATCGAGATGAAACCAACAGTGTAATTTGTTGAATATAAAGTGGATGATCTTAGTCTGTTAATCTTTACTCAATTCTCAATAAAAAGTTAAAAAAAGAATAATTCACAGAATATTCTGTTATTAATACAAGTGATCCTAAGGATCAGTCTTTGATCCCTAAAATCTGGTCTGAAAGAAAAGACGTAAGTGCTTAGCTGCTAACAGACAGGTTGGAGGTTTGACCCCACCAGTGATTCTATAGAAAAAATATGTGGCAGTCTGCTTCGGTAAAGATTTTGTTGTTGTTGTTAAGTGCCATCAGGTTGGTTCTGACTCACAGAACCCCTGCATAGGGTTTCTGAGGAGTGGCTGGTGAGTTTGAGCCATTTATCCTACAGTGCCACACTTCGCAATCCTATGAGGAAGTTCTCTTCTGTCCTATAGGGGTGCTATGAGCTGGAATAGATATGACACCAATGGGTTTTGGGTTTTGCTTTATAAAAAGTTGAGAAAATTTAATCACTGTGCAAAAAGATAGTGTGCATCTGATGATTATAATCTGGTCATTGAAACTCTAGTCCTGGTGTGACACTGTAGGATAAGCACTGGACTGCTAACCGGAAAGGCTGGCGGTTCAAACCCACAACAAAGGAACATACATGGTGGTAGCGGTAGTGGCTGTGAGCCACCCAGTCAGTTCCGACTCATAGCGACCCTGTATAGGGTTTCCGAGGCTGTAAATCTTTACAGGAGCAGAAAGCCTCTTCTTATCCCACAGAACGAATGGCAGATTCTAACTACTAACCTTGTGGTTAGCAACCCACCTTGTAATCCACTATACCACCATGGTTCCTTCAGGGAACATAGATAGTAAAACATAAAGTTAAGAACTGCCTTGAGCGGTGTAACAGACAACCTTTAACATGGTTCCCGTCATTATGAACCTTTTAAGTCACACTTTTGTATAACCTCCTTTTTTTAAGTTTGACCAGGACCTGTGACTTCCTTCTAACCAACAGAATGTAGTGAAAGTAAAGGAATCTCATCCCCATGACTGTGTGACTAATTGCCATCCAGAGAGCTCATGGCAACTTCCTGTTACATTAGTCTCTATCTTCCTAGAATAACAGCTCTACAGACTCCCTTCTTTGCTGACTTTGAAGTAGCAGACAGCCATATATGTGGAGATGCCCATGTGCAAGGAACAGCAGGTAGTCTCTGAGAACTGAAGACCTCCCACTAACAACGAGCAAGAAACCAGGGCCCTCGGTCTGGTAACTACAAGGAAAGTTACCTTGCCAACAACAAGATAGAGCTTAGAAGTCGAGCCTTCCTCCAATAAGCCTCCAAATGACAACTCAAGACTGACTGACACTTGGGTTGCAGCCATGTCGAGGACCCAGCTTAGCAGAGCCTGGACTCTGACCCATAGAAACTGTGTGATACTAAATGTGTGTTTTAAGTTTGAGGAAATTGATTACTCAGGAAAAGAAAATGAATGCAAAGTTGTTGCTAAGTGCCCTTGTCCATTACAACTCAGTTACCCTGTATAGTGTTTAAACCGCAAACCTAGTAGTTAGCAGTCCAGTGCTGATCCTACAGTGCCACACCAGGACACTTTATGAATTATAAAAATCTATTTTTAATCACTAGTTAATGGGTGATTGGATTAATTTCTTATAAATGTCATAAAAAGGATTATATACAAGGTTTCATAGAAAAATGGAACTAAAAAATAACAATTTTACCATGAACTTTCTGAAGTCCCCTCATATTGTTTAGTGGAAGCTTTATGCTCTGACATTAAATGAGAAAAAAAATTAAGCTCAAGTATATTTGCATAAAGGTAAAATGTATTTGCATAAAATACATATTACATAAGACTATCAAGTAATTTTTAACAAACAGAATATTTACATTCATATGAGATTTTGGGATATTCTGTACTTATATGAACCCTCGTGTGGTGCTGTAGGGTAAGCAGTGGACTGCTAGCCACAAGGCTGGCAACTTAAACCAATCAAGCACTCTTGGAAATCCTATACAGGGTGACTCTGAGTCAGAACTGACTTGATGGCATACAGCGACAACAACCACAACCTGTACTCATATAAGTGTACAGCCATCACTCAAAATGTTTTATATTATTTCTTTGGAATATTTTCCAGTGAGTTTATTAGCCGTTCAAGATCAATCATGACACTGAGTATCATACATGGTCCTCTGGTTTTAACCAGCTTAACTACTAATTCACCAAAGTTGCCTTCCATGAATGGATTTTTTAAAACATAAATCAAATCCAACTTAAAAGATACTATCTGCTATTACTCAGAATATGTTGAGAGTTCTGAGGTTCTGGATATAATTCTAAAAAGGAGTAGTTTCTAAAAAAATGTTTTGAACTTTAATGGAATAAGAACATAACTCCCCAAGGAGAATATTCTGACTCTTAGCACTTAAATAGATATAATAATTCTAAAATGTTTATTAAAAACTAATCAGTTTAATGCTTTAGAATGACACTTGGACTATGTTCTCAAATTGGGCTTCCCTGACACTGTAGCAATTGAGAAGGAAACACATCTTAAGAAAATGCTACATGTTCAACATTTTCACATTTAAAAAAGCAAGACATTGTATACATTCCTGTCCCTCTCCCCTCACCCCATCCTGCTCCCATGCTCCATACTGTAGCTGGACTGTTTTTTGAAAAATACAAATGTAACTAGGTCACTCTCCTGTTTAAAAACCGTTAAGGGGGAAAGATGAAGGTATGGGAAAACACCAGGCATTGTCCTTTCCCCTCCAGCCTCATTCGAGCACTCCCCACGGCCCCACTGATCCGCCCACCAGTTCAGTGGCTCAGGGAGACTGTGTACCTTCTCCCCTCCTGGGCAGTGAAATACTTTGCAATATGTTTATCATTTCTATGTGCCCAAGGGAACAGCCAGCTAGGAACTCCCATCAGGAACCTCAACATTCATTACTGCCAGACATTTGTTATTAGTGAAAGAGTCAGATGACATTTTACTACTGTCATAAATGTAAAATGTCAACTAATAAGATAGTCGATAAATCAGGAGTAGGTGTATTTAATCTCAGTTGGGAAGTGTGTTCAACACTCACCTGGATTATCTCATTCTTCCGTAACAACAACCCTATAAAGCAGACCCTGCTATTTACTATGCCCATTTTACAGATGAGGAAAGAGAATGACTATGTGATTTGTTCAGTTACAGAATCTGATTGCAAAGCCAGGCTCCTGATTTCTATCTTGCCTGCTCTTCCTCCACATGTGGCCTTCATTACCTCCTGCCTATCTCAGTGACTTTATACAAATGGTTCCCTCTGCTGATCACTCTCTCCCATTGTTACCGCCTACTCATGCTCACTATGCTACCAGACGACTCGACGGCACTTAACAACAACAACAACAACTCATGCTCAACTCAAGCATTATCTTCTTTTTTGGGGAAACATTCCCTGACCCCTCAACACCACATCAATTCCCAGTTCTCTTTCCTTTACTGCACTCATCACAATCTATAAAAACGGTGTTCGTTTGTGTGTTTATTCTGGTGTCTTCCGTAGCCAGCACAGTGTGTACATGGTATGTAGTAGTCACACTGTTGTTGTTAAGTGCCACCAAGTCTGTTCTGACTCACAGCAACGCTGTCTAGGGTTTCTGAGGAGCAGCTGGACGGATTGAACCGCCAACCTTGCAGTTCAATCCAACCTTGTGATCTAGTGCATTATCCTGAAGTGCCACACAGTTCATTGATATTTGGATTATTTCATTTCTCCAGTCTGACTGAAAAGGGCTAGTAGAGCAATGGCTCTCAAATCTTAGCACTCACCATAATCACTAAAGTTTCTGATTCTGCAGAACTTTAGTGGGACCTGAGAATCTGCATTCTCAGTTTCCCAGGTGGTGGGCATGCTGCAGTGTGGGGGCCATGCTTTGTGAACAAGTATAGTAAAGAAAGATAAGACAGCAGCCAGGAAGGAAACACCTGCAACCAAAGGCCTGTGCTTGTGTGGCTGGGTGGGCTGGGTGGGCAGGTGTGGGAGATCAGATGGCTGCCATGCTGACTCTAGTCTAGGCTGGAATGAGTTCTTTAACCAATGCTGTGGGGTTCAGCCTGAAGAGGAAAACTATTGGTAAGAATTATACCCAGAAACTGTGACATCAGCATGGAGGGGCCAAGGATCATTCAGAACCTCATTCTGAAGGTAGCTTTAAATGCAGAAACGGTAACGGTAGGGATAACTCAGATACTCACTACATTGGCTTAATCAATATGAAACTTGGCAACTAGAATTTTAAGAACTATTCTTACTAGTTCATAAGATTGGTCATAAATCATGACACACTACTGCAATTTCCAGATAGACTCTGACTTCACAAAAGAAAGACGGAGCTGGTCAGAAGTATAGATGTCTGCTTCCACTTTCTGTGAAAGAACCTCCAACAAAAATCAAGGAAGAAAGCCAAAATTAAACACCCTATTTGGCTGGCCATAAAACTAGTAGAGGTGCCACTAATCAGTAAGCTTTTAAGAAGGTTCATCGGAAAGGCCAGGCTGATTGCCCTCTGACAACGGCTGACTGGACACTCCAATGTGAGGCATTAGGGAAGGAGCAATGGTGCCTGGGGATTACAACCCCGGAAGCTCTAATGGTGTACTCTATGATCACTTTTGAAAATTTTCTTTCAATTTTAATGGAAAAACAATCTACTATTAGTGATTTCACCCCTATATAACCAACAATACCTGGCAAGCCATGTGGATCAGTAAATGCGACCAAAAGGCCCAAGTAGTCTATCCATTATGTTTCCTCTCATAAGGGGCCTTCTCCAAGTTATTTTGTTTTTATAGAACTTTTTATTGTGAACTGAGTGAAGGTTTCCAGAGCAGATCATCAGGTTTACATTCAACGAATTATATATTTCGTTTCATTACCATGACAGCAATCCCCTCCATGTATCACCAGTTCACAGTATTTACTTCCACTTACTTTACCTCTTGTGCTCCTCCCTGTGTTTTCTGCTACCTTCATCATTCCTCTGCCAACCTCTCTCTCTTATTGTATATTGCCTTCCCTGTCACCCAAGTTAACTGTGTCTACTCTCTAGTCTGAATAGTCCCTCCCCCCTCCCCCCCCGTTACCATCATATAATGTTACTTTTTTTGAAAAATTTTTTTCTTAACTTTTTACAATAGTGTTCCCAACAATATTTGCCCTTTTAGGATTGACTGATTTCACTCAGCATAATGTCCTCCTTCATTCTTCCTCTTGTTTGCTATACTCCAACCACAATTGTTTCTTTCAGTTCCCAAAGGAACTGAGGGAAAATCATTCAGTTATTTTTTAAACTTCACATCTGTACAAGTTAGCTTTACTTTCTATCGGCACTATCCAATGTTCTCCAAACCTGTTGAGCTGCCATTTACTAAATGACTCAGGTCATAAGGGATACCAGGCCACATTGTGAAGCATCAGCCACATCCATCAACAGTATTAAAATTCGTATCTTAATATTAGTGTTAGGTAATGACAGCTTCCTTAATAAATGAAAATAACAGTGTATTATATGAGTATGAATAATTCACCTCTCTCGGCTTGCAACACTTACTTCTTTGAGTGCAGCTGGGATCTTTTTTTGTTTCCTCCCAGATGGAATACTATGTAAGACTGATGATAAGGCACTGGAAGGAGATTTGTGATTTCCTGGACATCCAATCTTAGGGGAGTGCTGCTGATCTAAAACACATCAGACACACTTATGGAGCCAATGGAAAACATTCTGCAATTCAATTTAATGCCGATCAATAAACACTGGTGCATAATACATCCATGGAAGGATACTCAAAAAAACTGACAACTCTGCTGGCCTCTGGTCAAGAAAAATGGATGGCTTGGAGGTGAGTGGGACAAAGACTTCACTGTCTATGATGTTCTGCTTTTTGATGTTAAACCATGTGAAAAGAGTCCCCTTTGTTTTATGCCTTTAGAATTCTGAAACATGTGAATGTCTGCCAACTCAGAAATATATATACACACACATATATATATATTAAATAGGAATCCCCTCTACTGATTTGTATTTTAAACTCTTAACAACATTACTTAGTGGGGTTTGGAGAATAGGCCAGCTAATAATATTACAGTGAAAACAGTGATAGTGAAGAAGACAGGGAGACTCGGATGAGGAAGCAATTAATTCTGACTGCAAAGGTTCAGGGAAAGCTTGGATGAGAATGTGAAGTTTTAGTTGGCCATTAAGACTTAAGTAGGCATTTGCCAGGCGAAAAGAGGGAAGAACACTCCAGGCAGAGAGGTTAGTATGAGCAAAGGCAAGTTGAAATCATATCTTTTAGCTGGAGGAAAATAAGGCTGAAAAAAAGGCCGGATGTAAGAAACTTTAACTGTTGTTTAGGCAGTGGGAAATCAAAAGCTTTTTAAGCAGGGGAGTGATTTGAGCAGATTAAAGATTTAGAAAAATAAATCTGGCAGCAGCCAGGAGGGGTTTACAGCAGGAAAACCAGTCAGGAAACTGAAATAGTCCAGGCCAGAGAAAATTAAAGTCTTTATTAAGGCTGAGATGGGACAAGATTTTCAAAGATAAATTTGTCAGGATTAATAGAACCAATGGCTGTGAATGATGAGGGAGGGTAAGTCAAAGATTAATTTTACATGTTTTGATGCCATACTATGAGCAGAGAGCAAAGGGAGGAAGATAAAACTGGCAAAGGAACAGATGAGTGTATCTTCTAGGAAAACGTATAGAGACCACAGCAATCAATTCATCTCTAAATGTATGGGTTCTGAAAGAGCATGTTGTATAATTTCATTCACTCAGATATTGCTCCATGCTGTTGATAAACTACTTTTCATATGAATGGCGAATAATCATTTGAAAATTTAGATCCTACAGCTTTCAGGAAGTTAACTTTGGAGGCTTTCCCCAAATACAGACCAATGTAGTCCTGCTAGCTGCATTCTCACTTTAAAGATAGACTATAAATAATGAATAGGCAGACATATGTCATTTTGTATTAGGTCAAAGGAAGTGCATTACAATTACACTAACAGTCACCTAGCCTATATCTATAGAGAACTGCTTTACAAACAGTTGCCTTTCAAATGTCTTAAGCATTTCATCCTGTAATTGCATTTCTTCAATGAAATTATCTAAGCAAAATCCTATTTCAAAGAATAAAAATAAACCTCAGTCCAACGTATCTTTGAAATACAGCAAAACATGCATTAAGAAAGCTTAGTACTCATTTTCAGACCAGTATCACCAATCATTTTGCCAATGTGCCTACTAGGATACTTTGAAAAGGTTGTTTGAAAGCATCTGGGAAGGAATTTTTGGTTAAATCTTTTCTTTATTTATTACCTAATTTCTGCAGTTCTTGGAAACAATGTTCGCATACTCTTGCTGGTTGATTTTTCAAGTAATCTAAACCATACTTATTTGATGAACAAGCTTGACAAACGATCTGAAAGCACATTGGAATTATTTCAATTAGAATAACCTTTGTATGAAAACCCTAAGAAATGATACGATTTATCACACTATCTACTTTACAAAATATTTTCAGTCACTCAATCTCAGTCTCCAAAACAACTCTATGGAGTTCAGGCATGTGGTCATCTAACACACAGTACAACATTTACTGATGGTTACTACATAAAATTGCACACTACATGAGCGACTGTTTGGAAACTGTTGAGAGCAGTGTCAGTCAGGCATTCAGTTTGACAGGAGCTGTCCAGCGGCAGTACCACCACCATCATCATCATCATCATCATCATCACCGATGCTGTGTAACACTTCTATTGTTGATCAGCTAGCGTCCTGTTCCATATAAGATGCTCTCTACATCAGACCTCTCTGATACAGTAGTTACTCTCCTCATTTTACTGATACAGTTGTAAGACTAAGCTCCCCTTACTAAGTACCTGGTCATCTAGAGAAATGTAGTCTACATACAGTGAGATGTGTAAGAGTAGGAATTTAACAGACTACCTTGTGTTTCTGGGTCTTGCAAAGTTTCCTGCCTCTGATGGTGTATGTAATCTTACCTTTTATCACCTTTTTTTTTTTTTGTATTTACTTTCATTTTTTCCCTGGTAACGTAGTGGGTTATGAACTAGGCTGCAAACCGCCAGGTCAGCAGTTCAAATCTATCGGACAATCTGTGGAAAAAAGATGAGGGCTTTTGCTCCTAAAAAGATTTACAGCCTCGCAAACTTCACATGGTTACAAGTTGCTATGACTCCCTGGCACAACCACCACCACCACCACCATTCCTATTATAGCCTGCTTAAAGGCTTGGTGACGGTGGTTGTGTGCCATCAAATCGGTTTTGACTTACATCAACCTTGTATAGGGTTTCTGAAGCTGTAAATCCCCAAGGGGGCAGAAAGCCTCATCTTTCTCTCACAGAGGCACTGGTAGATTTGAACTAATGACCTTATGGTTAGTAGAACATTTTATAATTCACTATGCTAATAGCTGACTACATTTTGTTTGACTTGAGTTACGCAATTTTGAAATAGTGAGAAAATCAAAGTCTCATTTTATAAGATAAGATTTTTATGTGGTTGAATTTTTTTTAATTTACAACTTTCATTATTTTGAAGTGGATTATACAAGTAAATTTTAAAGTGTGTTTATGCTACTGCATGATGGAAGCAATTCAGCACTATTTAGTGTTTTAGATTACCCATTATCCTTTGTCATGATTAAATTATGCAAGGTTTTTATAATGTTCATCTGAAATGACTTGTAATTGCCTTTGGACAAATGAGGCTGCGTATCACTATTAATGAAAATATTTGAGTTTTCCTTCTCTGACAGGTTTCCACTTTCCACAAGTTCCAGTTTTCACCAGTTTTACTATAAGTAGCTGTGTAAAAATGTGGTTGTTGTTAAGTGCCGCTGAGTCAGTTCCAACTCACTGCAACCTTGTACAGGGTTTTCAAGGAGTGGCTGATGAGCTTGAACTGCCAACCTTGCGATCCAAGCTGACCTTGCAGCCCAGCACATTTAAAAAACAGCACCACACCAGGACTCCGTGTAGAAATGTGAGGGGGGTCTGTTTAATTGTTGATTTGTTAGTATTTTTTAAAATGAACGTTATCTATTACTGATATCCTATGGTAACTTTTGGGTGGGAGGGGATAAGCTCCCCTCAAAGACTTCCCCCTAAATATGTAGAGGAACACTATCCATGCTTCAGAGCAGTACCTTTCTTCCCTTCCTTCCTCTCCTGCTTCTTCCTTTAATTTAGAACACTGGTTTCTGAGGGGCACTGTGCTAGCTCACTATGGACACCCTGGAGAGATGGGTGTTGTCCTCTCCCACCTTTCCGCAGGCGCGGCAGTGGTGTCGTCTCCAGGTCAGAGTGAATTCACTTGTGCAGATCATACACATTGTGGCTCTGGTATCAGGAATCCAGATGGGAGCCTTTGATCCAAGGAGACTAACTTCCTCTTTATTTTCTGAGTCAGCCTGTGGAAGAAAGACTTCTGATTATCTCTAGGCACATTGCCTGCCAGAGAATCAAGTCTTTTGATTTGGCAGTGGCGCCTCAGAGCACACTGATGGTATCATGAAGGATGTAGAATGAAGTTCGGGCTGTCATTGTTTATCTCATGTGCTCAGGAAATTAAGATGAGCTGCATTCTAAAAATGTTTTAAGGTCAATTAATTTAAGAAGATGCCAGTGGTAGTGAGATGACAGCTGACTATTGTCTTCCTTTTCTAGTTTCTAAATGTTCTACAATGAGGTTTTATAACTTGTAGAAAACATCAATATGATGCATGCTATCATAGGCTTGCAGTTAGACAGTAATAGCAGGATAAATATTTAACTCTGGAATTATACACACACCTCCAATCCTTCTGTGAACTGAGGCTGCTTTTTAAAAGCCCTATGAAAAGTTTTGGTGTTTTTTTGTTGCTTGTGTTTGTTTTTTTTTTTAAGGTAAAATCTGAAATGCACTGAAAGGAGAGGGGAAAAAAAAAAGCCATAAAGACAATACCTCATCAAGACTCCTACTAGGACAGAATGTGATTCGTTTCTTGGCATACTCTTCTATTGACCTGGAAATCGCTTCTAGCCATTCATCCCTTTCTGTGGCAGAACTGTTGGGGGCAAAAGAAGGTCCCATCAACCAGCTGTCAGCTTTTACTCTGCCTTTTTCTTATTTCTTTTCTCTTTCCCATGGCAACAGAGCCCACTACTTTCTAGCCAGATTCCCGTAGGCAGCAACTCTGAGGTTTATGTGTACAAATCCTTAGAGTGGACATTAGAACCCATAGCATTTTAGCAAATAAGATGGTTTTTGTTTTCTTTTCAGAAGTACTGCTCTCCATTAAATGGCTTTGGAAGATGCAATGTTTGGAAGTATTTCATAATTTAAGAGACATCATACAATTATTATGAAGATTATAAAGCCAAGGAGTTCCTTAAGACATCATCCACTGTGAAATCATGATTTATATATATATCTCAAATTATAAAACAGTATACTAAATATTTTTAGATTACTAAATATTTCTAACAATTCCTAGAAAGGACAGTGAAGAAAGAGGAGCATCTTTTTTGCTATCATAAAACAGATGTGGAAAGATGGGTTAAGAAGGGAAATGGCCTTTCACTATTGTGAAGACTCTTCTGTCTAGTAAGCCCACCAGGATATCTGTCCTTGCACCCGGTACATCTCACCTGTGACTTAGCTCTAGATGCCAATGGGCTAAGTAGAGGGGAAGCCTATTTTGAACTGAGCCCTCCTGTTCTGCTTTTTTCTACAACCACACCTCCCACCAAAAACTGTGGCAATGGAACCCTCGCTGATATGAGCAAATTCATGAAGCCATTATTTAGTTTTTGTTTTGCATACTTACAACTAAGAGGCATATTTTGGGTATTATAAATGAATCACTGAATAAATAAATATAAGAAGTGAATTTTAATAATGAATTAAAATTCCAGCATGATAAAATAAAATCCATTCTAATAATGGAATTGTGACTGTGTAAGAAAACGTATGTTTTAGAGAGGCATAATGAAGTAGGTATGAGGAAAATGACTTGATAACTACGATTTTATTTAAAATACTTTAGGAGATAAACAGTAAAGTCTTTATAATTTTTGAGTCTGGGTGATAGGATCTTCAGTTTCATTGTATTAATCCACTCTGATTTATAGTATATTTGAATGTCTACATACTATTTTATTATTACAATTTAATATTAAATATAAAAAATAACAGGAGCTGTCCAGCGGCAGTACCACCACCATC